CAATACAACCGTTCTGTGGCAGTATCGAGTCTCATTCATGCGGAAATTCTGTTCAGGATAGCAGATCTATGAATTCTCAAAGTAGAATAAACGATAACAGTTGTATATCATTGCCAGATCTGCAGAAACTTTCTGGCATTGTAATGGCATTTAAATTATCCCTAACCACAGCCAGCCACTTCCAGACTAGCTCGTTTCCGGACAGTCCTGAATATAGAGTCCCCTAACTAAATGGCACCAATCACTAGCCAACACATCATTCACGGAACAACCGCACGAATAAATGTTCAGCAGCGCTTTTATGGCAGTGAAGTGGCCAGAATAACATGGGGCATTCGACATAACTGCCCCAATTTCCGCCCGCGCTGGTATATTAAACAGTCGTGAGCTGGGGAATTTGACTGCGGCTTCGCTTCATTAGATTCAGTGTGCTCATGTGCATTAAATCGCCCGAGTTTAGTTAGTGTTTCCTCATTCCTGTCTAGCACTGTAAAACATCGGAAGTACCAACTACGCAAGGACACAAATATGTAGGTAAGCAGTGGCACCTATATGTAGCATTAAAATTCGCTTGAGTTGCCAACTTATCCCATTTCACCTTTGTTTTAATTATCCTACGCCAAGGGGCCTTAATTAAAAAGAAAAATATAAAATGGCACCTTCTCGATTTTTCGATTGTGAACTTGGTCAACCATGTTCTACCATGACTGAAATAGGTGACTGAAATAGGTGAGTTACCTATCTCACGATTCACAACTGTGTATCGTATTCGTGACTTATCATCACTTACAAGTTACAACACACTACTACACACTACACTAGTTACACACATCATTACCACCACATGCCTACGTTTTGAGAAAAAATGTGCATCTCCGGGGTCACCTGCCCTGTGGCTCTCTCAGGCGGTAGCCTGGACAGCCGTGATTTCACGCCTCCGTCCCCGTCTGACCGTCTCCGGTCTCTGATGGTATCGGCCCGTGAAAGATCAGCGTGGGAGAGAGGACGGCCCAGCGGGAGGACGGATCTCGATGAGGACTGAGGAGATTGGGAGGACGGATCTCGGTGAGACTCAGAGGAGGGTCTGTCGGCCGCTGGGGGCACGGAGACGGCGCAGAGGACAGGATCGAACCTGGAGCTGCTCCGTCTGCTGCGATCACACCGGGCTTTAACCGCGAGAGACTGAAGAGGTGTAGTGGGTAGATGATTTGTTTGTGGGAGAACAATGTGAGAAGATGGACCAGGCGAGGACACGGGGGAAGTGGAAGTGGAATGGCGACGAGCTGAGAACTTAGCCGTCACTATAACATCTTTGTAGATGCAATGCTACGCTTAACTTCCTTTACATCCATGCTTCACACACACACACACACACCTCTTGCCCCTCACTGTCTCTCACTGTCTCCTCTCTGCTCTCACTCCCTCTCTCTCTCTCTCTCTCTCTCTCTCTCTCTCTCTCTCTCTCTCTCTCTCTCTTTATCCTTCCCTCTCTCTCTCTCTCTCTCTCTCTCTCTCTCTCTCTTCCCTCCCTCCCCTCTCCCTCTCTCTCTCTCTCTCTCTCTCTCTCTCTCCTCCCTCAGCTGGCACTCCTCACAATGCATGGCGCCGTCCGTTGTCCGGAATGAATGGTCGAGACATTCCACCGTGTCCTGTAAATCACGCCAGGCCGCTGTATCCGACTCCCATTCCGACACTGATTTCTCACCACCACCTGCCCGACTCAGTCCAGGCGAGAGGTGACCTGCACATATATCATTCAATGGTGTAACATCCGGTGGTGAGGTGTCGCGGATTGAAAGTTCTCCATTCAAGAACATGCATCGGGAAATATTATGAGTAGAATAATGCAATACTGGAAGACGGCAAACACAGCCTGCCGGCGCACGTACTGTCGAAAGTTCTACTTATTTATTTCGTCATCCTTCCAACAGGCTGATGCGCCCACTTACAGGAATGCACCTCCTGCTCCTCCTCTTCCTTACCCCTCCCCCCTAGGCTACGGCTAACGTGGGAGCCCACCCCACTCCTGGTGACACAGCTGGGGACGACGCCCGCGGGACGGGCGACACCGGGAATCGAACCCAGAGCCACCCGCACCGCGGGCCGACGCCTTAACCAACTGCGCCACCAGGGCCTACTTATTATTATTTGAAGTGAAATGACTGTTTTATCGTTGCAATGTTTGAAACTGTCGAATCCTGAGGATTAAAACTATCGGAGAAGTCTCAAAAGTAGGCTAGTATAGACTTACATCCTCGGTAGGTATATCCTCGGCTGTTTGTACTCGGTAACGGGCTAGCAGGGTGGCCTTCTCACAGGCAGCGTTCCAGCGAACGACCAAGAAGAAAAACACCTCCAAATCAGCATACACCGTTCCATTCACATCCCAGTGTGTGCTCCATGATCACCTGAGAGCCATAAATATCCGGCATTGGACACAGCACTCCGGTAATCCGTGCTCGACCGGCGTCTTTTCCAGGTGGAGTGGGTCACAGTGCGCCGCCACCTCGGCCGCCTCTCCAACACCGGAATGCCATTCTGTCTGGGCGTACCGCGCCGGAAACGCACCCCCATGTAAATGGCTTTAATGAATGAAATAGTAAAGCTGCCACTTGAAGCCGCCCCCGCGAGCGGTGCGCCATTGTTGGGTCAGTCTCCTCGTTTCTCCCCATTCTTGGCATTCTTTCTTGCGGAACACGGCGAGACGATGTCCCGGAGCGAGCATTATCCGTGGTCCCATTCAGCGCGGGGCCGTCCTCCGCTGGCGACCGGTCGCCGTGAGCTCGGTGTTATTTATCTTCCATGGGGACGGAGTTTTTCCCGTGAAAACACACCTCTGCCGGCTGACTGCTCACACGGGGTGTCGGTGGCGCATGGAGGAGCCGATACGGAGCCAGCTAGGTAACTCCTCCTTATACGGTAGCTCCTCCTCCCGATACGGAGCCAGTAAGGTAAATGCTAGCTCCTTATGTGTGACAGGTGCATGGGAAGGCGAACGTCCCCGCTGGATGAGTGTGCTTAGAATTGTGTTTTGTTTCAAGGGTTGGGAAACTACCTTTTTTAGTCTGGAAAAGTACCATAAACTGTGAAAGTGAATGTAATCCCTACCCGTCATCATACCGTAATGAATGAAATTGTAAATTTTACACAGCATAACAAAAAAATGATCTGTCACTAGACCATGAAATCATAAAAACATCAAATTTATCATTCTGCATTCATGAAATAAAGCGATGTACTTGAGCTCCATTGGTTCGGTTTCGTACTCTGTTTCAGTTTCTTGAGTTACAAGCACAAACGCCCTATATAGCTCATGGCACATAAGCTTCAAAAGCTTCTGGGTTCTTCATGCTTCTTCATGCATTTCTCCATCAACCCTATGTATGGCCTTGCATCTACCTGAGATCCTTCAGCGCAATAAGACATATGCTCCGCTACTTTCTCGGCCTCCGCGAGTCCCGAGCTCGCCGCACCTCCGCCGGCCGTGAGCTCATGAGTCAGTGAGTTCGCCGTGCTCACCCCGTTCAGCGGGCGCTGAGCCGCTCCCCGTCAGCCGTCAGCAGTCAGCAGCAGCTGCTGAGCGCCGGCTCAGCACGTGCTGAACTCAGCGGGCCGCCTCTGGCCGGTCCATTTATAGTGTGCAGTAAATCCGGCTCCGTGCTAACCACGAAACATTTGAATTTCACACCCCATTCAGACCTATTCTTCAGGCGGCTCGTTATATTCTGTGGACGTCTGTTTTTGACAGCGCCCTTATAACCAACTCGGTTATGAATTCAAAAGGAATAAGAATGCCGCATGCAAATCGGCTGAATGGGCTTTAGGACGGTTCAATACCAGCAATTAAGTGGTCTAATCATGTAAAGGGATAAAGCGGTGGCCGGGAAATGTTATATTTTTATTCAGGCGGCACAATGGCAGGTGATAGCTCTGTTGTCGGTAATGGGCTTTCCTTGTTAGAGCTGAGAAAATCAGCAAGTGTATTCAGCAAACACAAAAGTGTGCCACGCTAACCCACCGATTGAAACACGAGAGTAGTAAGCGTCTCTTTGAGGCTTTATTTCGCAGTCAAAACGAAACTGTTACGGCCTATATTAAAGGTTTGTAGGCCCATAATCTCTTCATCTCGTCAATAAAATGTCTCATATCTCGGACTCTTTGTGAAATCGTTTAGCTTTAGTGATATGGCCCATAAGTCTGAACGGCCAGAGCATAACCAATGTCTATCGTGCACCAGACAATAGTCTTTGGCACTGCATTCCTTTGATCCATTGCAAAATGCACTTTTAAATACAGGCTTTATTGTCACTCACAAAGCCTTGCTAACTTTGCGTCAGTCATTTACCATGATACAAAGACTTACGGCGTAGTCTGCGATTCACACGAATGACCCTCATTGACGCATCTTTAACCACGACGCCAGGTTTCTCGTCGTTGTCACACCTCTCCGAGAACGGAGCTGCCAGCTCACTCGCCCTGTCCGGTTTGCAGGCCACGCGGCTGTAAACTGTGCAAATGTGCCCGGCTGAATAGAGCCCGGGTCGTTAGGTGGCCACAAGCCCGGCGCTAACCCGCCATCGGCCGTCCCGATGACCGCAGGCGACCTTCGTGAGATGCTCATCGGTTGGTAAAGGCCCGGTAAAGGAAGATACGTGTGGTTCGGAGTATGCACGGTGCCGTACCGCTCCGTTCCGTCTTTTCCGCGCTATTTCATGCCGTTTTGTGCCGTACTGTGCCGTGCCAACTACCATACCAGTTGTTGTTCTTATTACACCATGTAATAAAACAATACATCTCGCATGTTGCACACCAAATCGCACGGCATTGAAATTATTTCAGCAAACCATTCTTACTTCATGACATCTCATTAGTTGGTGTTTATATTTTATTTCCTAGCAGATCCGCTGCGTGGAACATTGCTAAGTGTAGCTACTCATCCCTCCAAACGCAGACAGCATAGGCACCTTAGACACTCTGTTCTCACTCTCTCGTGCCGACAGTATAGACTATAGACACCCCAGACACTCTCCACCCGCCTCCTGCACCAGTGTCCGGCGCGCGGCCGGCGCGCTCTGACACAAAAGCGGCGCGCCCGAGGCGTTCGGCGCCGAGATGAGAGCGACTCGCGCCAAACAAAGGGTGCTCTGTAATTGGACAGTGTGTGCCACAGAATGATAGGCGGATTTACTGCCGCCGGCGTAATTGATTAGCTAAGGAGTGAAAGAGCTGAATGCGCTGTGTCGCGCACGTGCCTTTGTCTGCTTCGTTCGGGGGAGCACGCGCCACAAGGGTACCGAAGTATTGGACGGTGGAGGAGGAGGCGGGGGCCGTGCTGAGCTGGACCGGACTGCTGGTCCCGGTCTGGTCCGGTCACAGTCCGGTCTGGTCTAGTCTGGTCTCGGTCCGGTGTGGTGTCTGTACAGACTGTCACTCTGGAAGTGGACACCTCTACATCCTTCCGTTCACCAGCTTAGTGCTCCTGACCTGGTTACCGCACTGCACAATCTCTCCACATCCGTTCATATTTCTTAGGAACTGACCATGCGTGTGCCCCTTCCATGTGATTAATTCTTCATGAATACAACCAAGGTGTTCTTGGTAAAAATGTCTATACCATCGCAAACGTTTCTGTCTTACCTCGGCTCATTAACCTTCATCCTATTAAAGTAGACACAATTATCAAAACATCACAAATTCATTAATCTTCACCACATTTTCATCTCCACAATCGACACCACAGGATCTCTTGTATCCTCTTCCACCCACACCCTCATCGCCGCTCCGCCTGTCGCCTTCTCCCCAGCTCCCCACCTCGTCTGAGCTGCGTCGCATCGTCTCCGGCGAGCTTCAGCGATCGCCGGCAGGCTTTGCATTCATCTGGGAATTTTCCGTGGCGGGGCTGCCGGCGTCGTTCTACAGTGTCGGCACAGTCGAGTGATACCGCGGCGCCGTATGGTTTTGAAGTGCGACACAATGCCGACGGCCAACACAATGGCGGCTTTTGCCGGCGCAGCTCGACAGAGAGAGAGGGAGAGAGAGAGAGAGAGAGAGAGAGAGAGAGAGAGAGAGAGAGAGAGAGAGAGAGAGAGAGGAGGGAGAGAGGGGAAGAGGGAGAGAGAGGAGGGAGGAAGGGAGAGAGAGATAGAGAGGGAGAGAGAAGAGAGGAGAGAGATACAGAGAGAGAGAAGCTATGTTTTATAGGGCGAGAATGAAGGCAGGGGAAGGATCAAGCTCAAATCAGAAAGATGTACATACAACGTAGACAGGGCGGTGGAGAATATAAATATTGCACAGTAGACATGCACTGCTTTTGATAATTCACATAGCTATGTTCTACCAAAGAAAGAGAATTCATGGCTCATACCATAGAAAAGATATATGAACTCGGCTTTTGTGACTAAAGGCGTCGTGCTTTTGTTGGTGGGACAGAATGGAAGGACGGGTGATTCATTCGCTGCGCAATATCTCTCGGTATAATGAACCAAGCATGAGCAAATACGTGGTAGCGTAGCGTCCTTACACTACAATAGACAAACATCAGCGTACAAAGATAACGACGGTAATTCTTTCACCCACAAATGTTTTACATGCGTTAGCAACACTTGCCAAGCATGTAAACAACGAATCCAACACATAACCCCTCAATGCCCTGAATGGCTACCAGTAATTCTGAAGGCAATAGCCGCTTTTCGATGCTCCCTATAGACAGCCATTAAGGGTAGACTAACAATGTTGACAGGGGCATATGTAGCGTTTTGTCGGCCACGACAAAGCCAAATGCGGCGTGCAGCGAACACGACAGGGCATCATATTTCTTTCTAATTGAGGCAGCGGCCCCACAGAAAAAGCGAGACTGATGCCGCCATTCAGGGCTGCGACCAGCAGCCAACTTTTTGCAGCTCATCGACTATCTATATAAAACGGACATAAACCGGCAGCGTTAGTTCCGAGTCATTGGTCACGTTTGTTCAGGAAACAGTGAATAACCATGGGTCGCCGACGCGTCTCTTTTCAGCCCCTTTGCGCGCTGCTGACTCGATCAATAACCGTACTTTGTACTATCGCAGAATTCCGTCGTACGGCAGCCCAATGCCACTGTGGCTTCCCAGGAATATTTCGTAAGTAATGCATTGTCGGCCGGGCCGTTTTGTATTGTCGTCATGGAGCGCCATTGTCGCCTGCCGAGTTGGCGGCGTTCTTGGTCCGCCATATTGTTGCCGGCGCTTTGTGCCGCCCGATTTCTTCATTGTGGTCCGAGAATGGCGAGCGCCGAATCACGACAGCCTCTCGCGCCGCGGCCGCTACTCCGCGCCGTACTTTCATTAAATATTCTTTATAAATTGTGACGTTCGATTCAGACCTTTCTTCCGCGGCCTTTTGCGCGCTATTCGCTCAGGTGTTCGGGGCTGAATGGCGCATTCAGGGATTTGGGGTCCGGCTCACAGCTCGCCGGAGCCTTATCGAAGCCGCCAGGCGGCACCACAATGGACCCTTGTATAATCGAGGCTCATAAACTTGGAAGACTCGGTATCGCATTGATGAGCGGCGATACAGGTAGCGAGCCAACAAACCCGCCGGTAATCAATCCCTTTAGAGAGGCGAATATTTCTGAAGCGAAGCCTTTGGCTGGCCACTTGTGCGATTTTTCATCACAGCAAGCCACCGCGCCGCGGCGGGCCCGGTAAAGTGCTGTGAAATTGGAGCGATACGGTTTAAAAATAAGCTGCGATACTGACACTATAACACGTCTAGGATGAATACCACCCAATGCCTCATTTGTGTTAGGCGTAAGTGCTGAGCAAGAGTTGCTAAAAAAAACATAGTTATGTTTCTGAATCTCAGTTCGTATCAATAAAGTGAATCGCATCGTATCGCAATCATGGGTATCGCGTCTTAAGAACGGCGCAAATACAAATAAGCACCTCCTGAAAATTAGCTACACCACAATCTCAAATCTTTCAGAGCATAAACACCCATTCACCTCAGCCATTGTATCATTGTCCTCAAAACACAACAACCTTCAGAGGGGCGTTGTTTCCAACTTTCATCGCACGCCTCCATTCCTCGGCGCTTTAGGCTCGACGGGAGTTTTTGAGTCGGATTTTAACGACCACAGCGCCGCGGATTATAATTGTTGTGACTAATCGAATACAGGGCGAGGTGACGTTATCCAGGCTTCATCTGGGCCGGCACGAAAACAAGAACACTAATCCGCGATTTCGGCGCGGCAAGATGGACTGATTGGCGGAGAGGAACTCGCCGGGGGTCCGACAGGGCCCGGCGGCCGGGTCGGCCGGGTCCTCCGCCCCCCGCCGCATTGCCAGGAGATGCTGAGCAGCGTGTCAGCTGCCTCGACAGAGGAGGAGGAGGTCTGTCAGACGGACGAGCGACCATGAGAAGGGTGGCAGATCATCGCGATGGTCTCTCTGACAGAAAGAAAGAGAGAAGAAGTGAGTGTTTTGTGAAAGGCATCAGCGGTCTGCGGTAGACAGTGTTGCTTGATCGAAAAAAGAAATAGGAATCCAGGCCCAATTGAATCTTTGTAATAAAAAAATCAAAGTCATCAATCTTTCATTAATTTGTACTAAAAGCACACAATTTGTATGCATCGTCTTATTTGGGACGAAAATGTTCAAACGTGTTTATGAACATTTTGTGCACCAGTGTTTTTTAATCAAACTGAAATTTGATACTTTATCGACTGATAATCAGCAGCACGGTTATTTCTCAGTCTTGCTCTAAATATAACGCATCGACGTTACAGAAAACTACACCTACTACCTACCTACCTACCTGCCGCGTTTCAAATGCGGCACGACAGAAGTCTTAGCTAGAAGTTGCCACCACACAAAGTCCAGTTGACCCGATACAGACTTCACCTGCCACACCGCCGTCGAAACACCAAACCGCCAACTCATTTCAGCATATGATTTGACTAATGACCTCCCAACTGACAATATCTGACCACAAAAATAGTCAAAAGAAGCCCCACAAAGGCCACGGAGGCAAACAGACGCCTGGCATCTCCGATCTCTGAGTGTTTGTGCTAGCTAAAAAACGCGGCCGGCTCGCGACACAATCATATCAGGTCCTCGGCGGGCCAGGCTGGGACTAACGACAGCCGATATCATCTGCGACCAGCGCAGCCGGGCGCGGGGTGGCCCGGGGTGGGTAGGGGTGGACGCACCCTAATCGGTTAGCTGGCGTGGAACTGTGCGCCGCGTGACGTGACTCGGCACGGGACGAGTAACGCGCGGACGCACGTTTTGATGGACTTGCGTTATCGTTCCAGTGCTCGGGTCACATCGCTGAGCGCGTAGGGAGCGCTTTGTGCCACCCTCTCCACCCCTTCCCCCTTGTTAGCGTGTCGCGGCGACTAATAGGTGACAGGCTGACGACAAATTTTCTGGCATGAGTAGCAGCGGAGTATCTGTGTTTTCTCTTCAGAGAGCTGTCTACGCTCAGGTAGCAAAGGGATCCGATCCACTTCGTTTGCCTTTTTTATTCGTATGAGAATGAAAGCTAGTACCTAAGCATTTTAAATATGAATGCCTCAGTGACGCCAACGGCCAATGTGTGCATAATCCAAACACATGTGTACCGACGCTATTCGTTTGTTATACTTTGCTCCTGAATGAAGTCATATAAAACCCTCGCAATGACAATTATCTCCTATCACACAACGACATGAGCATTTAGCGCCCAGCCATGACCCCGAACACCTTCTTAACTACCGCACCGATGCAATGTTGCACCGAGCCCCACCCTGTCCACCACATCTGAGCGCCGCCAGGGACTCAACCGGTCATCATTTGCACCCAGCTCTGGCACCCACCACCGGGGGTCCCACAAATCAGCCAGACCACACCCCCGCTGCACCCCATTTGTCACACGTAATGCGCCGGTATCATCATTTGGATTTACCGGAGAGTTATGCCTGCACGGGTGGTATTCCATTATATCGCCGGTGGTGTCCGGCTCGCTGCCCCTGGCGTCGTCGGTGTGGTGGTAGCGGTGGTCGGCAGGAGGAGAGGGAGCACAGTAGGTACTACGTGTGTGAGTTGAATTCCGACCGACCGGGTTAGGACTAGGAGCTTGATGGATTGGTGTTTGTTATAGTTCGAGTGCAATAGACGATGTGATCGACTAAACCATCCAGCCATACATTCCTCTTATCGAATTGGGCTTCATAACTTTCAAAGGAAGGACTTACTGCCCGAACTTACAATGTACAAAAGTAATTTATTTGCATAGTTATCCTAGCAGCAATTTACTCTGTGTTTGCTTCGAAGAATAAAAACAGCCTACATGCAAGTGTCTAAGTAGGTTTTTGCTCGTAAAACTCACATCTTGTAATTGCCATAGGACAATAAGAATTTATATCGAATGTGTGCCTATTATCAGGCTATGTCAAGCAGCACCAGAGACGGTACTTCGCCATTATCATGCCCCGCCTCACTACAAACACCCAGCTGCGGCTGACTATGGTCTCCGGATGTGTCCACGGGTGGCGCCGCTTTGAAGCACGTTTGGCAAACATGCAGTCTCTTGTCATACGGCCGTGACAGCAATGTGTGCACTGTGAATACATCAAGCAGCGTTCCTCAGCAGGCACGTGCACAGGACCCTCCCCCCCCCCCCGGCTGGACCGCGACGGCAAACTCCAAACAAAACGCGTCCCAGGACGGTAGACACGCCATGCTGTCTGCTGGCAGTTCTCAGGTTCCGGCGGGGGCCGAACAGACGCCCTCGCGCCAGCCGCCCCCGCCGCCGCCCCAAAACCAAACAGGGCGCACAGGGTCGCCTGTTTGTCGCACCGGGTATTTTCGGCGGCGGTCGCGCAGGGCGCGAATTCCAGCGCCGCCACCAGGTGTTTCAGGGAGATCAATCAGCTGGCTCGACCATTGTACCGTCTCTGTGCCATTCACACTTTTGAACGGAGCCTTTCAGACGCGCACAATGCGTGGTCATTTACAATTCCTTTCAACCGGCGGTGGCGGCGGCCAATCGCAGGCCGCCGTCCGCTTCCTGGGCGGAGCCTGACATTGTTCTCGGCCGATCGATTGGTCGGCGCTGGTGACGTCATGGCCGGCCCGGCTGAAGTGCCGACGCCGCACAATGCGGCCGGGGCCGGTCAGTTTTTTGGAAAGTTTGACACAAGCGGGCTGTTTCTTGCGCATTGAAGAAAAACCCCCGCGTCGGAGTGTCATTATCTGGCTGGTGTGTGTGCAGAAGTGTTCCGATTATCTGCAAGTGTTTACCAGGTAAGCTGGGTTGGTTGCTGGGCCAGAAGTCGCTCATGCTCGAGGTTTCGGGGCTGCAACAGTGCGCATGAGCGAAGCTGGCAGTGTGCCAACTCACTGCCGGGCTGCGCTATGGATGTTCGGTGTTCCCAAACATTTCAATGTAAAGCACAGATAACTGATACGCACTGATCATTGCTACGCCACGCATTCAATACTCAATGCTGCTTATTCACAAATCCCATGAAATAACCCAGGCTTCCAGAAAGACACATAAGATACGATTCGATGGACCTTTTTTGGCAATGCTGGAAGTCTGCCTGCGAAATCTACGTTCGGTGTGCCTTTTATTGCGATGGGTCTCACTTTTGTATTTTTCCGAAACTTCTAATGAATGTGGATCACGGTGACATCTTGGTTTGTGTTCCATTCCAGTCGCCACACTCGATTACCATGCAACAGATGGAGAGCGGTAGCCCGTCGCCGGCCAGTATCGGATCCAGCGTGGGATCCGGGTCCAGCGCCGGGTCCGGATCCGGGGCGGCTGGTTCCGAGAAGTCGGAGCACGTGAAGCGGCCGATGAACGCGTTCATGGTGTGGTCGCGGATGCAGCGGCGGCGCATCGCGCAGGATAACCCCAAGCTGCACAACAGCGAGATCTCCAAACAGCTCGGTAAGCCAGGGGCTGATGAGTGATGGAATCTCAGCACAAGTTGGCGAGTAGGGGCTACAGCCCCTGGAGATCGTGAAGTTTTGAGTGTCCTCGAAAGACCGTAATTGTTTTGAACTAGGGTGAAGTGTTCACAAATTTCGAACAATGTGATGTTGATTTATCTTTCAGTAACGTTGGGATATGCTTGATGATAATGTTAATTCATAACTTTTTTATCCATGCGACAGTTTCAGCTACTTTTGTATGGTTATAATATGAAAATAGTGCAATTAGTTGTTATATTCCTGTTAAATGTGTATTATTTAAACTACCAAATCAGCATGGCCAAATTAGAAAGAGCTTCCTACGATCTTTCCTATTCGTCACAACAGATGATAATTATCAGCTGTTGTCTCGACCGACCGATTGGTCGGTGCTGGTGACAGAAAGTGAAGAAATTGAGTAGAAAGTGAATGATTGAATAATTGAATCACTCACCTTCTGCCAACGTTCACACCGACTGGTAGTTTCGACAGGCAGAATTCATCTTCTGCCAACCTTTCATGGCGCGCAATGAATAATATCTCTGCAAGGCAGCCCGCAGTAAATTTAAATTCCAACTCTCCAACGGCGCCGTCGCCGCCCGCGGGCTACCCGCGACGAATCGGCCGGCGCGGTGCTAGCGGCCTGTGCCGCCGCGCAGTCGCCGTAACCGCCGAGCTAGGCGCCTAGCCGGCGTCGCAGTTCCCGGCTCGGCACAACCCGCGCGTCGCAGTCTCCGGGCCGCCGCCGGCCAGCCGGCACAACCCGCGCGCGCTGAGGCGCTCGGTCGTCGCTGCGAGTGATGTGTCGCTGGGGATTGGGTGTACTTTTGAACTGTGGTTTGGATGCCGGCGTGTGTTACTCGTGCGGGTGAAGGACGTGCTCTGAGGTGGTCCGCCGGCACCGCCACCGGAGGTGCCGTATTGCCCCAAAGTGGCGCGGAGCGATAGTTATGCAAATTTATCGCCACTGCGCGGTTTGTAAATTACCCAAGGCTAGTGGACTACCCCCAGCCACGCAACGGCAACCCGCGTTGGGCAGCGTAGAAGCCACAACCACCCTCGTCGTATCTTCAACCCGCACTCTTCCTCAGGTGCACAATGGAAGGTGCTCTCCGAGGCCGAGAAGCGACCGTTTATCGACGAAGCGAAGCGGATTCGGGCGCAGCACATGCAGGACCACCCGGACTACAAGTACCGACCGCGCCGCAAACCCAAGCCGATGAAGAAGAACGAGCCGTTCCCGTACCCGTACCCGCACGTGGCGCTGGAGCCGGTCCGCGGAGCCACAGGTCAGTGAAGGGAGGGGGTCAGTACGGGAGTTACGGGTCAGTGAAGGGAGGATTGTGTGTGTACTGTGTGGGACGGGACAGCTCAGCCGGGGTTGTTGTAACTGCCGCAGGCTCATAGGCGTTCGTGCCGGCTAGAGAAGAGTGGAGGCTGAAAGGAGTTTCAAAAGCTGTGGGGGAAGAGAGAGGACACTTGTTAAATATTGATCTTCACTAAGTGTATTTACAAACATTCTAGGAATTGTGTGACATCAATCACCTTTCATTTCATATTGTCAAGATAAATCGCATCAAGTTAAGCACAAATATTTTCTTAACACAACAATATTACATTTCCAGTCGACGGAAATCACTTAGTTTCACAAAAAAACACCACTGACTGTCATTTGATCGGCCTCTTCACATCACCAACGTCTCACTGAAACACGGCACGAGCCAGCCATGGGACCACCTCCGACCATGGCGCTCTATAACCGGGTCCGTCCAGCGATATCTCAATAGCAGTCAGGGCCAATTTACCCGGCGTAAATCACGGCGCTAAGCGGCTCCTCCACGGGCCTCAAGGCTGCTGGAGGATTAGTGAGCTGAAGGGCGGCGGCGGCGGGGAGCGGAGGGCTGCCGAGGGACCACGGAGGGACCGCGCAGGGGTGGCCGTCCCTCCGTCCGACCATCCCTCGGAGGTGACGGACCGGAGCCGGATTGAACGCTGATCGATGTGTGCGCGCGGAGATAAGCCGAGCCCAGAGAAGATTGAGGAATGCCTGATTTAATTGTGGGGCGCGACGTAGGCAAGAAAAGGGTTTGGAAAAGTTGGCGCATCGGTTATTTAAAAAGCATTTAGACTATTGGATCTTTATCTTGATCGAATCACAATGTTGCAAGAGTTTGGTCATTGAATTGTTATTGAAACAGAAATGTTTTTTGAATTCTAATGATGTAAATTGTACCGAATAAGACCAGGGATAATAGCAATGGCATCACCACACTAGTATCATCTAAGCCCCTAACATCGTAAACATTATGCAGCTTATCATATGAAAGCCAGCTCACCACTCCGCTCCACTTTCTATTCCCGTTCTACCCGCCCCTCCCTGCTCTCCCCTCCCAGCCTCCGCCCAGTCGGCGCGGCGCCCGAGGTGTACGCTGCGCGCTGTCGACGTTTGCGGCGCGGCGCGCGGTGACGCGGCAGTCCCGGCGCGCGGCTGAAACAAAAGCAGACAGCGGGACGCCCCGTCTCATCTGGTGGCATTGTCTGACCGGTATTGTCGGCCGTGCCCGCAGCAGAGTCCGCCTGCAACTCACCGTCCGACACAGCGGCTCTGATGTCGCCTTTGTGCCCACAGACAGGCCAGGAATGATGAAATTTTCCCACACGATCGGCATAAGTGCGTTGAAATGCTTATATTTCGGAACATTGGCAATGTTTGCGAGGTAGCTGTAAGTAAATTGCATTTCATGCTTCCCATCATGAAAAATGTGACATCAACACATTTTGCTACTCAGCACTTCCAGACCTACGGTCGTTCAATTCGCTTCGAGGGCGGGCGGAGCGACCGCCACTGGTGCGCCATTACCGGCTCCGTGCCTTAAACGGCGCAGTTTATGGACACTTTGTTGTCGGAGGCGACCGTGCCAATTGTTTCCAACTGTGAGCGGTGGGCGATTCGAGCTCGACCGCTGTGCGCTCTGCGGTCTGGTCGGCTGCATGCTGGGATGCAGAGGGGTTGATTCTGGGCAGCACCTGGCTCAATTGGGTGGTACTGCGGATCAGGCTCTGTCTGAATCAGGTCACAACTACCTCTGGTTATCATAGTGATGAGAATAAATGCAACGGAGCGATTTCATGCGGCAATCCGGTGAATTTTTAGCACTAAATCTACCTTGGTTTGACTCAGTGTGACTCTCCATTCCGCCTACTCTGACTCAGTGGCAGTGTGACTCAGAGCTGCTGGCTCCGACTGTGCTGTTCGTTTCCTGTCCGTTTGAATCACGCCAAACTGCTGATCACGCCGGACCAATCGGACCCCCGGCGGGGAGTGTCCGGGCCAAACTGTGCGCTGAGAGGAGAGGTGTGGCTGGGAGGTGGTGGACCGAATGAGAGTCACTCTTGGAGAGTTCTGGTTGAGAAGTGGTTCCTGTTTGTGTGATGTGTTATGACGACACCTAAAAATAACTGGAGGTGATGGTTTTTAGATTAGTTACAACTTAGCGCTCCTCACCAGTAGCCGTGCTCTCTGTTTCACGAAGGAGAGCCCACTACTCAGAGCACTAGAGCACAGCACAAAACACATACCTATGCTGTTTTTAATTAACTTTCTAGCTAGTCCAGTCCTCTAGTAATCTAGTCCAGTCCAGTCCAGTCAAGTACTTGAAAATTCCGCTTAAATCTAACAACCGTTTTTTCTCTGTTCGCAGGATTCCCCGGCGCAATGTCGTCTTACTACAGTAACGGCTACAACCCATTCGCGGCAGCTCACATGGCAGCGGCGGCGGCTGCGGCAGCGGCTCAAACTGCCCAGGTGAGATGCTCAGACGAGCTGGGAGTGCCGGCGGCGCGGCCTCAGTGCACGGTTGTGAAGCCGGCACATGCTGGGATCGGAATGGGTCATTATGGGCACGGTTTGAATGCTCAACAGCTGACTGTAGGTTGCATTGGATGACAAAAGGACTTAGATATGAAGGGTCACTGTTAGTTCTAGTGAAAGAGGAATCAAATTTGTCCTTGATATTTATGTGTTTTTTGGCAGTCTTTGGTCCCAGTTCACCAGCCCCAATGACATTAACGAGCATTTTCGCCTATACCTAACAATCTACCATAATAAGAAGCAAACATTTCAACTGTTTTGCAGAATCCAATCTTTTTACTTCAAAGCTTAAATCCCATTCTGTTCATTCACAGGTCTCTGGTAGCTCGATGTATTACAACAACCCAGCGGCGTACTCCACGCTGGCGCCATCTCTTGGCGCGATGTCTCAGCCCACCTACACTAGCGCCACCTCGGCAGCAGCTCTCAACAAACAGTACGAGCAGCGCCTCGCCGAGTATCAGCGTGCCGCCACGGCAGACTTCCAGCAGCGTGCTTCCCCGGAGCAGCCCGCCAAGTACCCTGAGCCCAGCAAGTACCCGACGCCCGACCCTACCAAGTATCAGACCTCCGAGCTCGGAAAGTACCAGACCGCGGAGCTCAGCAAGTACCCGAGCTCCGAGCTCGCCAAATACCACAGCGCCGACCTAAGCAAGTACGCCGAGGCCAAGCCGGAGGCGGGCCGTGGATACGGTGTCGACGCGTTCCGTCCTTTCGAGGTCAAACCAGAACCGAGTCGCTCTCCCGAGTCGGTCCCGGCCGCGCCCCAGCTGCCCCTCGGGTACACTAACGAGGCCCTCGCAGGTCTGTACCAGCAGACGCCAAACCCGTACCAGTACGCTGGCCTGCAGGCGAGCCACGCGACGCCAGCGGCCGGGCAGCAGGCGGGGTACGGTACCGCCGCGTACGGTACCGCGGCTGGGTCCGGGGAGTACCGGAGACCGCTGTCTGTACTCTTCTGAGCAGAACGTGAGTTAAAGAAACTAAGACAGAAATTCAAATCGGACGTGTCTTTGTCCATGTCACCTACGCGTCCTAGCATATCTCCTTGCTTCTAAGGAGCCTGTCTTTAGATTCTTAGGACTTGCTAAAGCTGAGATAATATTCCATTTTCTAGAGTTTCTGCTAAGAAAAGTGTAAATTTACAGCTAAGACGACTGCGTAGCTGTACGGCAGCTTTCTGATCGGCTCGACTCCGAGCAACGTGTGGACCAATTGTCCTTCGAGGTGCATCTGTGATATGATTAGATCTAAGACTGAAACGTTGTTGCGATTGATGAGTGTTTCCCACTTGTTGGGAAAATGTCCCATGTTGTGTGATGTGGTTTGCCATAGGGTAAATTGAGATGTTCTCTGCTCAGGAATGCGTTTTGTATATACTTCATATCTTTATTCAGAGCTTGTAGTAAAGCAAGGCATTTCGTTTTTGTAGTTCCTTGATAGTGTGGCTTCTACGATAGATGCTTTAAGTCAATGTCAGTCATGGAGCGTATCTCTACACGTTTCAGTCCTCTTGACCGCAATGGTTTCGTTTTTCGTAGCCATTTTGTCAAGTGGCCGTCTATTTTTATATATTTATCGCTACCAACTGAAGTTCCTATCTAGACATAATCTTATGATGATTTGTCTTCTGTGAATGGTTCTGGTTTTGTATCAATTGTGCTAAGATGAATAAAATTCAACAAATGTATGCTCGTACATCAGTTAGCGAAAAAAGCGGCTTGGTAACGTTCAATGTTCATGTATGTCTCCTCTCTGTTTGTCTGTCTGTCTGTGTTTCTGTCTGTCTGTCTCTCTTTCTCTCTCTCCCTCTCTCTCTCTCTCTCTCTCTCTCTCTCTCTCTCTCTCTCTATCTCTCTCCCTCTCTCCCTCTCTCCCCGTCTCTCTTGCTCTCCTACCGCCGCTACATATGTGATTCTCGCCACCCCCTCTGATCATCTTTCCCCATAAGATCTTTTGATGAGAACCGACATAGACAAACATGTAATCGATCGGATCGCCGACACCACGATCCACTCTCCCAACTGCTGGCCACTACTCTCCAAAGACATAGGACCAAGTCAGCAGTCAAAATGAGCACATCGCTCAGCCGGCAGCCCCGGGGCGGTCCGCGGTCCTCCAGTCCGCAGAGTGGCACACCAGAGGCGGATGGGGTCGCGTGCCGACGCCGATCGGTGTCGCAATTAGCGCGGCTCTCGCGCCACTTCCGCCGGTGGCCAATCGGCGCGTTTCGCGCCATTAGCGGCGGCCGGGTGGTGCGCCTCCCGCCGCCCGTCAACTATGATAAACAGCCGCGGGCATAATACCGCCGACACCGATCGGTGGGTGTGCAGTCTGACGAGGGACGACGATCCGCAGCAGCCGCTGGTGTGGTCCGGCGACCACAGAGCGCTCAGAGGGGGCTGGATGTAAATAACACAGAAACTGCACTCACAAAGGTCTTTTCGTTTATGTGTGTAAGACTTAAACGAGACGGTGACAATCGAAACGCCTCTGAATGACTCTGGATAGAAGTTGTCATGCTGCACTTAATAGGACACAAGACATGTCTCCCTTACCTCGTCACACTCTTATCCCCCCCACCAAAAAAAAAAAAAAATGTTGCTGCATCGGTAAGTGGAACGTATGCTGAAGAGGACTTTCAATGGTCTTTAGAGAAAACAAATTGCGACATGGCTACATTGAAGGAAGAAATTTGCTGCACTTATGCAACATGACGAAGCATTTCATCGAATGAAACCCCGTCCTCACAAACCCACGTTTTCTGCAGCGTTGGCCCACATCAATAGCCGCTGGTTCTGAGCCGGGGAAGTATATCATCGGCTCCGACGATTCTTCGACAGAGGCGAGGCAGAATCGAACTCGACGGAGGCCGGCCGACCGACAATGCGGCCAAAATTACCAGGGGAGCAGAGAATGGTCGAGCAGCGGTGCAGATTGGATTTTCACAGCCTCTATGGCGACATAATACCAAGGAGACGTGGAAAGCGGGGAGCTTTAAACAAATCTGACTGAAAGAAAGAAGACAACATTGAGACATAATCCTGAATGAGACTATTATCCGCTCCCTCTTTGATGAAGTTCTTTGATCAAGGAAACCGCTCTCGTCGGGACATTCTTAATAAAAAATTGCAGCCTGAAAAAAATGTTTTGCCCTTTGCCGAATAGGATGGAGATTAATTGTAAAGAGAGAAGAGTGTTTGAGGATGTCTTCTGACTATCTTCAACACGTCTTATCCTTTGAGTTTTGCGCCATTTATCTGCGTTTTTTGACAAACACACATCACTGGCTCATCAGACTATTCAGCGCAGGCAGGTAACGTTTAAACGAAGCACTTATTTTTTATGCATTGACATTACTGAAGCAATTTCCAAATAATGACTCTTGCTGTTTACCCTGCTGAGATGGTTGGCATAAGTTTATGTGCCTTGTTCAGCGGGGACCTTTATTAACAAAAGAAACTTACCACTGCGGTTATTTCCTGTGATAGGCGTTGAAAACCAAAATCTTATGATGGGCGCAAAGTGGGCAGTAATCGCCACGCCGTGTGTGGATCGCTAATGATTGTAAATACGAAATACATACACACAATTACGTCATTCAATTCAATAGCGAATGCTCTTCTTAACAGCCCAGCAAGCCTAACAAAGCAGTTTTTAGTTCCTGCCACAGACCAACTGAAGACGAAATAGGCATTCGAAACGCGTTTTGGTCTGTTAATAGATAAATATAATTGAGGAATAAACTTTGTACTACTACTTGTCAGCATGAATCAAAACAGGTTTTAGTTATTTGTGTCATCTTTTTAGCATAGCATATCCTACTGGTTTGTCGGTCTTTGATGCAATGCGGGCTCCTCACACTGCGGGAGCGGCACTCCTCCGGCTCTCCGGTGCTCTGTCTACTCAGCACAATAATGGAATCCATTAGCATGATTGATTATCCGAACGGCTGCCCTCTCATCTTGTCTGCGCGCAGCTTTTTTGCGACAATGATCCGGGCGTTTTTCCAGAATTCGCGCGCCATTCTCATTTGTAGCGTCGCTTCCGGGGCGGCCGGCGGCGCTCTGCGACGCATCGTAGACGCTTCCGGCGCATTCGTCAGCGTCGTTAAAACATCGCGCCGAGCGGCGGCCGACGCCCGGCGCAGGATGGCAGATCTGCATCAGAAAGCCATCGGCCCACCGTCTGTTTTGATCTGCGCAAAAAGGCCAGTATTGATGTCCTACCATTGGTCGAGGGTGAGCGGGCACGCCGTGGGCCCGGCGGGGCGCCGGCGGGCCCCGAGCCACCGATGGGGTCCGTTCCGGCCCGCACAACGAGTTCCGACGGTGTGTGCTAGCGGTAAAGATCCGGCCGCTCGACATAGGTACTTCCGGCATTGTTCCAGCGCTGGGGCGGGCTGACGATGCCGGTGCTCATGTTTTGGAAGCTCGTGAGCAGGGTGGTGTGACGCTCTCAAGTGTTGTGGAGGTCGTCGGAGGCGAGCAAAACATCCTCGTGGTGACCGTTGCATCATGGGAAAATTCCGGAACGTCCATGGCATCCGACCCTCGAGCCGCCTCAAAAGTCGTGTGCCTGTGTCTCGCGGTTGACTTAGGGCCGACTTGGGTGAACGACGCGTCTCGGAGAGAGAGGAGGGAGATCGTCGGCCATGTTATTGTTGGCTCAAAGCCGCGCCCAAAGCTCGGAAAGAAAAACGAAAACTCCCTCAAAGATAACAGAGCCAGAATACAAACAGACCGATTATTTTGCTTGACTCCCTCTTTGCCGGCCGGCGGCGCGGCGCCATTGTGTGAGATGAATATCCAAAGTAGACAAATGGCAGGCTATCACGCCTATCTGTTGACCGTAAATCTCGGGACGGGACTGGAGATGTTGACTCAGATGTACGCCGTCGAACGGGGCCGTGAGAAGAAGGCGTGGAGCAGGAACTTCGGTAGAAAACTGGGTGTTTCGGAAAACTTGGACGTCCCAGAACTATTAGGAATCTGAAATCAAGTAGCAGCTTTTGGACACTCAAGCATTGAAGGATGTTTTCTTTACGACTCTTAATGCAATGTCATTGAGCGCGGGGCAGTGCGGCATCATCTTATGTCAAACGAATAATTGCATATAAATATATTCATTATTCACTTAATTATTTATTCAGTTTCATGTCATTGCATATACTCCTGACCCTTCAATGATTGCCCCTTTGGAGAGACCCCACATGAAAGTTAACAAGTTCCCTGTTCACCTGCCCCCCCCCCCCCGAGTTTCCAGGGCTTCTGAATGATATCCGGTGAATAAATGTCATTCAGTGCAGTTGGACCAGCTTCCTCTATTTACCGTAGCTCAAACATCTCACCGTTCCACGAAGCCAGAGAGTTCATTCAGCGTCCATGGCTGGGGCAGCACTGCCCGGAGGCAGTCAGCAAACTCCCCCTGTGTCCCTGTTGCCGATTTGGTGGCCGCGACTCTGAGCCGAACGCGGCGCACCGCATACGAATGCGTCGTGTCCCTTTCTGCGCTGACAGCGGCACCTCATATAAAAATAGCCCGAGGCATGTCAACACCACTGCGCCAATATGATCTTCATGTGTTTTGTGTGGCAACAATGCGCCGGCTTTGATTGAATCTTTCCACCCTTTGATAAGATTGCTCTGAAAAGCCGGACCATAGAAATCTTTGTCAGCGGCGCGAAATGGAGTTCTGCGTTACTGGAATAATGCGGTTAGCGGTGCCAGGGAGCCCATAAGCAGTGGCCGAGTGAGACGGCCGCAGTGGCGGAGTGAATAAAGACATCCCCCGGGGGGATCTGACGTGCCGAGATTACACCAGAGGGACGGGTGATTGGCGGCACGGGGGACCGTTACCCCTGCAGGGGACGGCAGGAGACCCACCGCCGCGACCAGAGGGGGATTAGTCAACGCACCAGAGATAATCAATTGGGCGGCATCTGGTTTGATTTGGAAAAGTGAGGGATACGGTTGAGTTAAACGAAGTGAGTGTGTTAAGGGTCAATAAATTTATGCGTTGACGTAGCCATTCAATTTACCAGTGAAAGTCTTCTGCAAGCATCAAACGATTAATTTGCTTATTTTCATACATGCCTGATGTAGGACGCCGGTAAAAAGACAAAAACTTGAGATAGAATCTTGAATTGACTTAAGAACGAATATACCGATAGATGATTGCGGCGTCAGGTGACGTAAAATGTGGAAAGTCAACCGTTCGAAATTGCTGAGCGCTAAGACGTTATAGCTTGTCACCCTACCAATCCCATCCTTAAGCGCAATTACCCCACCTGCCAGCCTACCGGTGCACCCGGCTCGTCCCGCGGCCCTCCGCAGACGCCCGTCGCCGCCTTCTCACACCTGTGCAGTGCTGAGTCAACATAACGCCCGGGTGTCTGTCTGGCCGGTGGCGACGCGGGGGCCCGCGTCCGGTCGCGGCACGTGCAGTGCATCTGTGCAAACGCCTGCAGCGCGGCCCGGCACCACTCCCTGTTGTTAAACAGAGGACTGTGTTTGACCGCAGGTCACGACCGTGGCCTCTGGGCCCTCGGAATGGGGAGGAGAGGGCGTGCAGTGTGGCTCTCCCGACGGTCCTTCACTGGCGTCGGAATGCGCTGACGCCGTGATTTTACAACATGTCACCTTCCGACCTCATGACTCGACTGCAACGGGTGGACGCTGCAGTTAAA